ATTAATCATTTACTAATTACTTATTAAATGCCCCTATGTATAAGCCGGGTTTTGATACCCGTGATGGGCAGAGCATAAACGTACCATTGTTTAGTTTTGTGCTTAACATCAAACATACAAACTTATTACTTCCCACTCTACGCTTCTGCTACCATCTTCAGGGTGCCCTCTATATGAGCTATTTCAGTGTTGGTAATGACAAGGATTCGATCCTGGGTCTTCTTCTTGTTCTATCATCTGGGGTCTTCTTGAGAGAGAGAGAGAGAGAGAGATGCTGGTGAGCTGTTCTATCGTCTGGGGTCTTCTTGAGAGAGAGATAGAGAGGCTAGTGTACTATTTTCTCGTCTGAAGTTTCCTTTAATCAGCCAATTATTCCAACAGCTGCAAGAGGTATATCCAAATTTGGCTGACATCTATGCTGGTGAAATAAAATATATCGAAACCCTTTAATCTGTAATAACAGGTATTTGTCGCTTATTCTCGTACAGAAGCTTACATGGTATATAATTCATTGAAAAGTCCCTTTATTTACACTTACTGATGCCAGCGCACCTAGCGGAGGAATTCGTGTTTGTTCTGTAACAATAATAATAATATTAACACACACATATATATATTTAGATTTATCAATTGATAAATAGTAAATGTGATCTATTTTTATTTCTCATCTTTTTGATACATTAGCGTTCCTGGTAGAAAGGTAATAGTTGGAAATAAAATAAAATCCTGGGTGCAAGTCTAAGCATAGAAGTGAATTAGTGTTAATCAATGTTTTAATCGATCTTTGATTATAAATTAACAGTAAGAAAGTTACTGTCAGTGTGTTTAGGAAACCGGTCACTTTTTATAAATAAAATTGATATTTTGTAGATTTTTACTAATAATTTTAACCAAAAAATTTAAAAATATCAGATCAGATTTTCAGGTTGGCTATGAATCGGGCAAACACCTGATGTACTTACCGCAGCTTTGGAGGTCCGAATTTTTTTAAATTAAAAAATATAAACATTACCTGCCACACGCTGCGTGCCAGAGTGACTGTATTACGTCATTATCTTTAATGACGTGATTAGTAGAACACAATTAGGGAGTAGGTTATGCATCTCTTTTGAATGATTTAAGTACGTTTATTACTTATTTGTTTAATTTCATGAGTTTCTTGAATTTAGACAAGAGCAGATAATTTTGGTCACTATGACGTTCAAAACAGTAAATATAGAGAGTTGATATTATTTGTACGTAAGTATGTATGTAGGTGTAATATTATCAAATATTCAGTATTACCACTTCGTTTTAATTTTAAAGTCTATTGTTGACCTGTAGTATTTCTTGTCTAAGGAACGTTACGCCTTGCAGTTGTCGCCGGTTGTTTTTTTTTTAGGCCTTAGTGGCCAAAAGACTGACGTGACCTTTTCAGGGTCACTATCACAAAATGCACGTAGGAAAAAAATTAATTCTGTTTAGTTTCACCAAAGGAAAAGCTGTATTCCATATGTGGTATACTATACTGTAGTCCGTAATATTCGTATTCTGTTTAGGCTTAACTTGTCTTGTCAGCGTTATGGATTATGTTTAAGCCTAACTTGTCTTTAAAAACTACATTGGGTTTTCAGCGTTATGGATTCTGTTTAAGCCTATCTTGTTTTTAAAGTGTACATTGTGTTGTCAGCATTATGGATTCTGCTTAAGCCTGACATGTCTTTAAAGTGTAAATTGTGTTGTCTGCGTCATGGATTCAGTTTAATCCTAACTTGTATAAAATGTAAATGTGTTGTCACCGTTATGGATTCTGTTTAAGCCTAACTAGTCTTTAAAAAGTACATTGGGTTGTCAGCATTATGGATTCTGTTTAAGCTTAAGTTTTCCTTAAAGTGTACATTGTGTTGTCAGAACTATGAAGACTGGTGAGAACATCAGACAAAAAAATTTTTGAACTATATCCTTTTTGTCTTCTTTGAAAATTTTGCCAGTTTTCATATTTACTTTAAATGATTTAGTCTTCAACCATATTCTGCCACTCACACCATCACATGCCCTCTGGTGGCTAGGCGGTAAATCAATGGACTTATAACGCTAAATACTGGGTTTTAATACCCGCGGTCGGGGAAAGCACAGATAGCTTATTATGTAAATTTGTTCTCTACAACAAACACCATGATATCCCTTTTCTTACCATTTGAATCATTTGCTCCCTTATCATTGCGGATGTAACGTTCCAATGAGTTTATTCAATAACACCTCGTTTTGTGTATTAATTGTATATTTCACAAACGTTCTTCTGAATGACGTAATTTTCACATCATATTAACATCTACATAATTATTATTTCAAGTAACAAACCGTTACTGTAATATCCTTCGGGGGCTCAACGGTAAGTTTATGGGGTTGGTTACAACGCTAAAATATGGGGCTCGATTTCCCTGTAGCACAAATAGTCCATTATGTAACTTTACGCTAAAAACAAACTTACTTTTTTCTGTTCTACCATCTCTTGTTGCAATTGTTAACAACATGCCACTTTGTTAGATTTTGTGAGCACAATTGTATCAAGTTATTTATCTTCTACGGCCCGGTGGTTAGAGGGCGCTCGACTCGCAATCTGAGGGTCGCGGGTTCGAATCCCCGTCACACCAAACATGCTCGCCCTTTCAGCCGTGGGGGCGTTATAATGTGACGGTCAATCCCACTATTCGTTGGTAAAGGAGTAGCCAAAGAGTTGGCGGTTGGTGGTGATGACTAGCTGCCTTCCCACTCAATTTAATGATCGTGAGTGATTGTATCATTACTAGAACATTCCATATACGTTATTTGTATTATGTTTAACCTGAATAAAATACATCATAAGTGTAAATGATATCATTAATATCCCAAATATAAAAATATTTACTTAATTCATGCACCTAAGAATATGGAATAATAACATGCATGATGCAATGTCCAATAACTATTATTCTTTCTAACTAAGACAGGAAAGGCTTAAAATAATTGCCTGATCTGAACACCACGAGATAAACATTCAAATTGAAAATATTCTAAACTGAAAGCAAGGTATAATTATACATCATTCAGTAGGTTAAAACTGTGGTTCGTTGGTAAAAGAGTAGCCAAAGAGTTGGCGGTGGGTGGTGATGATTAGCTACCTTCCCTCTAGTCTTACACTGCTAAATTAGGGACGGCTAGCGCAGATAGCCCTCGTGTAGCTTTGCGCGAAATTCAACAAACAATTTATCTTCTATGTGTTTTTCCTCCTAAAATGGTTATTTTAGTTTAATTATTCTCTCGGTTTTTGTATTGTCCCAAACATATCTTAGCGCATAAAAAATATCATAAAAGGAGTGTCTGTTGCAACAGAAAATAATATCCTAAACAGAGTGTCTGTTGCAATAAAAAATATCTTTTAAAAAAAAAAGAGTGTCTGTTGCACTTAAAAAAACAATAAGCCTGTAACAATAATTCACGGTTATAAAAACCGTTGTTATGAAGATTGAGAATAATAGGTCATTGTTTCAAGAACTGGAAATAAAAGGCTGCCTGTGACAAAAACTTAGGAATTCGTAATAATATAGGTTGCTTTTAACACGTAACAAATGATTTAGGTTTTCAGGTAACTAAGATGAGGAATAGAAGCAGGTTGTAATTTTATGAGTTCATTTTGTGTAACTGCTGAAACGCTCTATTCTCGAACCTAGAGGAAAGCTTATTTTACTTTCATCTAAACTCTAGTAGAATTTTGTATTTCGGAACTGCTGAGCCGGGTTCGAATCCGTGCGTTACCACCAAAATATTCCCCACACTTTAATCTGTGGTGTTTCATAAGAGTGACAGTCAATCCCTTAGCGTGGATAATCAGTAGTTTAAAATTAGGGACGGCGGCAGATAGTCTTAGCAGTTTTATCATCAATCTAACTATCTAGTGTTAATATCAACATTTCAGTAAAATATTGGAATTTTGTTTTGTAGCATACGATGTAAAATCTCATACAAAACTTCACTGGAAGGTTTGGCTTAGTGATTTAATATTAACGTCTAATTATTAACTGTATAAAGCACTGAATGTATTTATTTATCCAGATATAAAAACAAAACTTACTCAGCGTGAAATATTGTGGCGCCATCTTTTTGCCATTTATTCGTAGCATAATTGTTTAACTAATTACGTCCTCAAACTTCAGATACATGGACAATATAAACCCAAAAAATTCATGAAACACTAGCTTGTTGACGATTTTAGTAAAATGATGAATATATGTTGCCTGTAACACATTCAGTTAAATATAGATTTTGAAATTGTTGAATTTTAAAAATACCTCATCGAAGAACTCAAATTCACAGCGAGATATCGAACCCTGGATTTAAGCGTTGTAGTTCTGTAAACTAACCGCTGACCCACTAGGGAAAACGTAAGAAGATGAAACGGCAGTAATAAATATAAATATGTCGGTGAAGATCAGTAAACAATAAGTTTTTACAATTTTCAGTTTTATACTATTACCCGATATATATAAATCTGATCAAAAACACCTTAGGTGTGAAAAAAAGGTGCGGCCAAAAATGGATTGAGCGTGCGACTTAAAGGAATGAAATCAAAATTGGTGGCCAAACTGGTAGCTACACTTATAGCATTGATAACACTTTTAGAGCAAATATTCATTCATTAGTTAGCTAGGCCATGTTTTTTGTTCAACTTGGGGGGCATGATAATGGGTAAAACAAACAAAAAATAATTAAAAATAACTAATATAGGTTGCTTTAAGTACCAGGGAAGAGGTCCACGATATTCAAGGGTAACAAAAATAATAAAAGTGATAGTTTTCACGATACTACGAGCATCACACTTGCAGCCTTTTTAAAACTTTTAGACTAAGATACAGAAGAATTTAGTTATGGTACAAACACGTGCTCCAAGAAACATTTCTAAAAGAAAATACATATTTATTAGCAGTATAATACAAAATCAATATAAACAATTTATTTAATCACAACATTAGGCTACTTGAAAACAAAAAGATACAATTTCGTTTCACTATAAGTTAGAAAAACAAAATTATTATTTAACCAAATTTATGTGCAAAAAGCATTATAATAGATTTTACATACAGTTAAAGATTCATACATCATTGTGTTTTCAATAAAATGCAAAAATCAAATTAATTGTAACTATGACAAATATTTAGTTCAAGAACCATAAAAGGATAGTAAACATATACAAACTGTGACTACGAAGTGAAATACCTGTTTTAAATTGTTACTTTCTTAACAACCAACAATGGCTATCAAGTGAAACACCTGTTTTAAATTGTTACATTCTTGACAACCAACAGTGGTTACCGAGTGAAACACTTGTTTTAAATTATTACATTCTTAACAACCAACAGTGGTTACCGAGTGAAACACTTGTTTTAAATTATTACATTCTTAACAACCAACAATGACCGAAACAATCGTTTTAAATTATTAGATTCTTGACAATTAAAACAACTAAAAACAAACTTTGGTAGAAAAGTGAGCAACAAGTATACTACACGTCATTAGAGCTGCTTTTCTTTAGTAGTTGGAAATTAGTGAAAAAAACCTATATTTTATACAAGTTTCACATGAATTATAGAACACTTGAAATTTACCGTTTTCTAGTTAAGTAGAAAGAAAATGAAAAATAGACTTTCAACACTCCAAGCACAAATTTGAACACTACCGCCATCTATTAAACAGTTAAGCTACTTTTTTCCACTTACATTTAATTATCTGCTTGTATTTGATATTAAGCTTACTAAGTCAACTAAATGTTTAAGGTGTTTCTTTTAAAGTTATAAAACCAAGATATTATGTTCGTAGAAACCAATAAACGTAAAAAAAGTTACTATCTGACTAATTGGAAACAGAGAAAAGTTACATATTCCACCAAGTTTGCTTTTCACAGACTATAACAATATGTAGGACTAGAATAACACATCATTGATTAGTATCACAATACTTTCTATTAATCAGCAAGTCATCCTTACAGTACAGTACTTTAGCTCCCGAGCGACACCTACCAACCAGTGAAGATTGGCAGGTCAAAATATACCTGCATAGTCTGATTTTTTAATATAAACAACGGATGTATTTACTAAGCCTTACCAACAATTAATGATAACTTTTTTAATGAGAAGTACAAGTAAGGAAAGCTATCAAATGTATAAAAAACAAACACCAGTATTCACTGTAAACATGCACTTATGTTTACTTCAGCTTCTTGCAAAATGACCTGATAAATAGAAATTAAACTGAAAGAGCCAGGTTAATTATCAGTGAAGGGAAACTAGCAACACTTTCAGGTCAGAATATCTATCTAATATATATATATATATATATATCTAGAATATGAGGCATCTTAACCTTACTGGAATAAAGCAAGCCCATGAAACAACATATTGTAGACACAATAACGGTGAGATAAATTCATTATTTATGCAAAACTACAGCTGAAGAAACAGTGTAATCCTCAAAATGTTTCCCGATATAAATGGAACGTAAATGCTCCAAATTAATTTGGAGATGATTCAGCCATCTGAAGAACAGCTTTGGCTTCCTGATAGTCTTCTTGCTCAGAAATATCAGTTTCAGCTTCCTGAAAACGAAGAAAAGTACTTACTACAATTAAATAGATTTTGGTTCTACTCTTCATTTTAATGTATAAAAATATTTCCTACATCAAAGTTGCCCCACCACACATGATAATTAAAGTACACAACTGTGTGCCACTCTATGATAAAGTTTAACAAGAAAAGGCTTTTAACAGCTGGTTTGTTAACTTGTCTTTTGATAAGTTTGCTTCTGACGTTGATCTTAACCGGTAATCTTTAACCAAACCTAGGTGGTTCAGTGAGATCTTATAAATTGTATCATTAAAATAAATATGTTTAAATTTTTAGTTGTACTTTTAATAAGTTTGGTAAAGACAATACACATATATGTTTGCATGTACACTGAAAAGTATCGAACCAAATTTGTTATTAAAATGTAGCATCAACTATATATACACACACACACACATCAAAACTAAAAAATAACAGTAAATAATGTAGCATCAAAACAAACATTTAACTGTTAGAAAGCACTAGTTTAGCTTGTTATTCTCACTGTTATTGATACTTTTGGACTTAATCCTAGATATAACAAGTGTAATAAACACTTCTGAATGTTATAAAGACAAGTTGGGATCAATATATACATACATACATACATACATAACATAGCTGGCTATGGCAATATAGAAAGTTTTAATGCTATAAAAAGTATTGAAACAAGAAAGTCAAAACTACAAAAACTGAGTTACTTAAAATGTAATCATAAAATTCTAAACAAAATTTTTTGGTATAGCTTGAGTAGAAATTTCGTTTTGTCAGTAACACTCAGATGGACAGAACTTCTGTCAGTAACACTCAGATGGACAGAATTTCTATGTTATTCCAAAACTTTACTTACGAAATCCAAATTGAGACTAAAAACAACTTTTTTAATTGAATAAAACAACATTTTGAAGAAAGATTGTATGGATAAGTTTTTTTCTTTGTTTGTTTCGGATATTTGTGAAAAGCAACACCAGGGCTAGCTGTACCCAAACTTGAATTGATAGCAAGCAGCTAGTCAACAACACCCACCACCAACTCTTGAGCTACTCTTTTTTTGAAGAGTGGGATTTTGACTTCCACTCTTATAATTCAAGGAAACTTACCAGTACATTTTTAAGGTCTGTATACGCTGTATTCAGACGTTTTTGGCAATCCGGTATCATCATCAATGATTCTTGCAAGACTTCCTCCTGCACGTAAAAATTTTTTAAAGAAAATAAATTAATTTGTTCTGACCCACAAAAATTATGCAATGATAAATATATAAAACCCTTCAATACAATAATTATAGAAGAAAAGGATCTTGATGTAATGGTTGATTAGTCTCTAAAGCCATCTAAGCAGTGTGCTGTTGCTAGTGGGAAAACAAATAGTTCTGTAAATCTTGTCCTATTGCTCCAATTTTCTGATGATAATAAAGTGCCCCCCCCCTGGCTCAATGGTATGTTTGTAGTTTATTACGCTAAAAATCAAGTTTCGATACCCGTAGTGGGCACAGTAATGATAGCCCGTTGTATAGCTTTGTGCTTAACCAGAAACAAAGATATTGAAGTTTTGGGTGTACTTGACTTTGAGGAGGTTAATATTTTAACAAAGGGGATAAATTGGGCAAGGAAATGACAAATAGCATTTAAGGTAAGTTCCAGATAATTCAATATAAACTATTATTACCACTTTTAGATATTTGGTACAAGGTATTATGGAGCTCTTTCTGGTGGTATTGTATAAAATGGTATCGTGCTCCATAATACCTTGTACCAAACAACTGAAGAATCTCTTTCTGGTGGTATTGTATAAAATGGTATCGTGCTCCATAATACCTTGTACCAAACAACTGAAGAATCTCTTTCTGGTGGTATTGTATAAAATGGTATCGTGATTCTTCAGTTGTTTGGTACAAGGTATTATGGAGCACGATACCATTTTATACAATACCACCAGAAAGAGATTCTTCAGTTGTCACATCTACTAAGTAAAATGTGCATCTTTAAATTTAAAAACAAAACTAGGTTTTAATTGATAATTTATAAATAGAAAAACTAGTTACATATAAACTATCACCTGTTTTCTAATATCGTATTCATCTTTTCCTTCAGCTTTCATTTTTTCTAATTTTCTTTTCTCTTGTTCAGCTTCTTTTTCGTACATATTTTTCTCCTTCGATAACCTAGAGCAGAAACAAGAAGAAATAGAAACGTTTTCATTAATCACATACAGTTTGAGAGATTTGGCTTAAGCAGTATAGATCATCCAAATCTTAAAACTTATAAGAAACAGAATAAAACAATTCTTCCATCATGTTTATAAATAAAAAATTAAACATTCTAATATTTTGTATATCACTCTCTTAAAATTAAAGGCTTATCTGTCACATATAATTGGGTTTTAATTTTAAGTAGCCCATTTTACTTTTTTGAATGTATATATATATATATATATAATTTCTGTTATCCATACACGTGCAGGTGATATAAAATAATGTCAGTACATGTGGTTTCTTCCACAGTTCCAACACTTTTCATGCATTTCTGCAAACAGATTACATCCAATTCTACAGTTTTGTGTTAAACTGGTACCACAAAAATTGGAAAAAAAAACATGTACTACTTACAAGGAAGATAAAAACTACATGTACTAAATACATATATTATATATTAATACAGGAAAAATGTTACCCATGTAATGAAAAGATTATCTTTATACGTATGCTAGTACTCCTTTACATTAACTTGATGTAATGTAGTAACATGTTAATGTAAGACTTACACTATCTATTCCAAATCTAATAATAGTAATATTTTAAGTTGAGACGTAGGCTGAAGAGCACAGCCATAAAGCTGTGAAAATACTACATATATGAACCAGAAAAAAAAAATTAATTCAAACCTAGAGATGCTTTGAATATATTCTATATATTAAATATGCTCAAAAGAAGTCCACACCTATGTATGTGTGTGTATAAAATATACAAGATTGTTACTTTAATTATTCTTCAATAAGCTTTTGAATTTTGTTCTCTAATTTTTGTCAGCAATAACTAATGCACTACACATATGTTAGACAATTAATTTTGATAATTTTTTTGTCTTTGAATAATAACCAGTTTAAAATATTTAACAACTGTTAACATTTTCTTCTGGAACTTCTAAAGCAAGACATTTAAAGTTAGTGTATTAATTATTACTTTTTATAAATTGTATTAGTATTT